ACGTGTGCTTGAATTCGTTGACTGAATTCGTTCATAGTCATGCTAATACTACCACTGTCATCACCTTTGCCATGACACCAGATGATAAAAAAGTTCGCTTCACGTATTGGTGAATAGAGCATACAAGGTATTTGCGATGCTGCCAACTTTCCTTCAGTAGCTGACAGCCAGAAAAGTTTATTTTTGTGTGATGTTAATGAATATTCGGGTGGATTCGGTGGTGGAAAGAGAATTTGTGTAATAAATATCATGTTTGAAAAGTAACAAATGAAGATGATAAATACTATCTGAAAAAACACTCAAAAACATATTTGAATCGATGTTTGAAAATAGATTATGTGAGATTTCAAGAACAAATTAACACACTCACACTCAGACAATGAAAATGCTTCTCATGTGAGATCAATAATTGTTTGGTTAAAATCTCATTCTTTTTTTAAATCTTGATTGAAAAGAATTTTTGAAATGAAGAGATAATCTTATATTAATTAGGCTATAACTAATCATGTTCTCTAAGAACAACGAATAAAACTTACCACTATGAGTAATATTTTTACCATCAGTTTTAAATACTCCATTTCGCTTCACTTATTGGGCAATAACAGTGAAATCTAAAATATTTCATGGAAGAATTAAAAAAGTCAAAAACTAATCTATTGAAATTACAGTTAATAATGAATGGGTCAGAATAAATTGCACTAAATTTTTTTCCTTTTCAAATAAATTTCTACTGATATTTATTGATTAGTGTAAGCCTTTGTTCATTAAGATTGATACTACAAATAAATTATTTAACACCAATAAATAGAGAATTTTGTGATCTATGCATCCAGAACCCTGCCAAGATTTTTAGTGTTGTTGTTCAGGAGAAAAAGATTTCGAACTGGATGACTGTCTGTATTGTTGGATACACTTTTGGAAAATCATGTTTTCAAAAATCAGACTTGCTGTATGAAATATTTATTCTTATACCGTCGGATGTAGAATTTAATTCTGAACAAAAAAACATTTCGAATATGTCAAATTAAAAAAGAACAATGATTTAGACCTATCAGAAAAGGAATTTTTGGTATTTTCACATTTTTTTGTACGTCAAAAATAATTCTTCTAAAATTCTGAAGCA